GAAATCAACTGGGACTGTCCATGTCTTGGCGGCATGGCTCACGGTCCCTGTGGGGAGGAGTTCAAGACGGCCTTTAGCTGCTTCGTCTACTCTACCGAGGACCCCAAGGGCATGGACTGCATCGACAAGTTTCAGTACGTCACGGCGTGTCATTCCTGCCCCTTCCTTTTTTTTTTTCCTCTCCTCCTCTTCACTTGTCTCCTTTTTTTTTCTTTTTACACCCTTGCTGTCCCCCTTCGTTTCAATCATAAACACTCCCGGCTGACACAAAATCGCAGGGGCATGCAGGAGTGCTTCCGGAAATACCCCGACATCTACGGCGCCGAAATCGCCGATGACGAAGACGGCGGAGAGACGGCCCCCGAGGGCGAACAGACTGTCGGACAAGGCTCGCCATCAGCCGAGGAGCGTCGGGACCCGGAAACACACCAGTCTCCCGCCGATGAACCCACCTCGAATCCCTCCAAGCGCGACACGCCCGAGGCGAAAAAGTCGCTTCACGACCACGCAGTCGTTGGCGATGGTGTACCGGCGCCGTGGCAGGATGCCACCCAAGCGGAGAAGACGGAAGCGCAGGAGGGGCAGCCCGGAAAGAAGGAAAGTAAGGAATAGACTACCGGGTGGTATTTCTTCGCGGCAAGCGGGGAAACGGTCTTCCTTAGTTACTAGGTTGAGCTTGAAAAACGAAGAAGAAGACTTGCATGGCGCCGAGAGCGGGTATGGACTGCATCTCTGTCCGTGTATAACGTGGCATGATGGCCGTGTTTTGTATTATAGCACATTGTATGAGGGTGGCGTGTATGACAAGAGGACCATGAAACATAGACGGTACAACAAACAGAGATTCTACCACTCAACACCACAGACGGATCTGTCTGCACACATTCACCCGCAATCGCAAACACGGCCGTCAGCGTGAGTCGACGGGACTGCCTCCACGCGGGGGGCGGACGAGAAAAAGAAAAAGAAAAAGAAAAGGTGCCGTCATCCTTGCATGCCACGGACGCTGAATTTGTACACGACACTATAGCGGGGCGACCATCAGGAGCAGAGAGTCGAAGAATTCAACCAATTCCGTTGCCAAGTAACGCCACCACAAGATTAAGAGGGAGGGGGGAGGGGGGAAGTCAAAATCGAGAGATGACACAATGTGCCTCTCATCAGTCGCGACTCATAGCCGAAACAATTATTTCAAAAAGAAAAGAAGAAAAAAAGAAGGAAAGAAAGAAAAGACCCTAAGAGCCACCCTTCTTGCCTTTGTACAGATATCGTCCGAAAACGGCCTCGGCCGCGCCAACGCCCGCCAAGATACCAATGCCTACCCCCGCCTTCTCCCAGTTCAACTGGCCTCTCTCGTACAGGCCCCATGCCTTGTAGCCCAGGTAGGAGCTGACGCCGATGACGGCAGCAAAGTTGGTAAAGGCCAGCAGACCAGCGCTGCCGTCCGACAGGCTGGCAAAGTGCTCGACGATCCAGGAGTCCGTCTGGCGCGCCTTCTTTGCCGTCTGCTTCTTGGCGTTCTGGGCCTTGTTCTTGGCGGCTTCGGCCTCGCGCTCCAGTCGGCCGGCCTTTGTTTCCGCCTGCTCTAGGTAGTCGGACGGGACGGTGCTGACGCCGACGACGGAGGCTGTGGACGTGGGCTCGTTGTTGACCAGCTCTACAGGTTGGGGGGCGGCGGCCTGGGAAAGGGGGGAAGGGGAAGGAATTCCTTCTTGTCAGCACGGTGGCTGGGCACACGGGAGCCAAGTTTGGGACGGGTGAGGAGGGTGTGAAGGTCAAGGTGCAGGTGGTGCGGTGTGGTGCTGTGGTGCTCTACTCACCTCCTCGGGGGTCTGCTTAATGCCGCTGGCGGCCACGTCGGCGTAAGACACTGCATCGCGAGGCCGTCAGCTTCGAGGTGGCCTCGTGGGTGTCACGACTCTTTTGTCCAAGATGAAGACGAAAAGAAGGGGGGGGGGGGGGCTGCTTACTGATTTGATAGTTGTATTTCTTTTTGAGGGTGGGAAGGAGGAGCTTGTCGGGAAGTCTCGTGGCAGGAGAAAGAAAGAGTCGGATGGGGGAGGATGGGGGAGGATGGGGGAGGATGGAGGATGATGGGAATTCCAAGCTTCAGGTCGGGGATGGGATGTTTTGCCTGTGACCAAGGGAGGGTTGTCAAGTAAAAGGGAGGAGTGTGTGTGTGGGTGGCCAGAGCTGATTTGGCCCATTCCACTTTGCACCAGACGTTTTTGACGCCTGGCGGATTTCCGACCGCCTGGCTGGTTGCGTTGCGCACGGCGAGTCGCCGACACGCCGGCACGAGCCATCATCAATGATGGATGACGTATTGGCCGGGGCTGGAGCTGCCGTCCTGTCCTGTCTGGCCTGGCCTGGCATGGTGGACCCACCTGCGGCCGTCGACGGCTGGTCACTGCTGCTCCCGGCCGTGGGGGGGCTGGCATCACTGCAAGTAGAGCCCTTGAGCCCGAGGAGGCGCCATGTGAAAACACGAGAGGCGGAGGACCGACTTCACGTCGACCTGACGGCGTCTGTGTCCCAACCGCATCCTTGTTTCTCCCGGGGAAAAAAAAAAATCAAAAAATCCCATTTCGCAGCCTCGGCCGACTACGAGCAGGCATAACATGCCTCGGCCTCGATCGGTGGTGTCCGGTTGACCACGCGGGTTCAGCCACCGAGGAAACCTCTTTCTCGACTAGGCAGTCCGAAATGCCGCAGTTGGGTCTCCGACTTGGGCCCGGTCGACGAAATCCCCTTCCCATACGAGCCAGTACGAGCCACTCAGTACAACGCGAGCATCACGTCGGTGACGAAATGCCTCCTCGTCACTAGCATGGACATGTCTTGGTCGATAGTCGCTACCTTACAATACACATATTAGGCAACCAGGCACCAAGCATGGTCAACGCTTGCGTAATTTCAGTAATGTGCAACATCCGAGTGCGATGAATAAGTACACGTTCCTGCTCAAAGCAGGAGGAAGAGAAGAGAGGGATTGCTCGCAATGCGCAAGAAAAAAGATCCTTCCTGAGAATCCGCGTCTAAATGCCTCGACCGACAACGCCAAGCTCTCATGGGTATCACGATTTGTAAATCACGCGTCTGCCGCCGCCCCACCCATGTGGAAACCGATGTTTCGTGTATCAAAAGCGTTGCTCCTCTAAGAGAAGAGGAGAAAGAGAGGAATGAAAGGGAAGGAGGGAGGGGAGGGGGGGGGTAAGGACGGAAAAGGAAAATCGCTTCTTTTCCCAACGATTTTCTGATGATTAAGGGGTTGCGACGACGATTTCTCGGAATGCGTCGTCGAGTTTCTTTATCCAATACTGCTTTACACGCCAGGGCATCTTGCAGTATATCAATGCCTTGTTCTCGTGGATCAAGACATTCTCCGCAATCCGTATCTGCAGATCCATGCTTTCGTCTGCAAAGTCCGTGAAGAACTGCTCCAGGGCCAATTCACACCATTTTGAGACGTGGGACGGCCGCACTGCCGCACTGCTTAAGCCGCCCAGTTGCGCCGGCGCTTGGGAAGAGTTTCGTGTCATGGCCGTCACAGGCGGCGTTTGAGACGCCGTCGTATCGCAAGGCAGGTTGCCTGAGGAAGCGGGAATGGGAGCGACCGAACAGCCGACACTCGAGGTTCGTTGCCTTTTCTCCGGCGATGAAATTGGCAGCAGGGAAGAAGCAGAATACGTGACAAGGAGAGGTGGCGTTGTGCCAAAAGTCTCGTCGCATTGGGTGATGGACAGTGTTCGTTTCTTTGCTTGGTGAGAGGGCTCATCTGGAGGAGTCAAGGCGGACTGCTGTGGAGGCGCAGTCCGAGGGGGGGGTATCGTTGAGGTCGGCTTGGGCTGCGGTCCCCCTACCGCTGTGCCCGAGGCCGTTGGCGTCAGAATTGAAGAAGATGATGGCGCCGGCCCAGGGCTGTCCTGGCCAGTGTGCCCGGGCACGGTCGAAGTCTCAGGCTGCGATGATAGATCAGGCTGCGATGGTAAGACGCCGGTTTCTGGTATTTCCGACTCGTCTGCGGGTAGTCCGTCGGTCCTCCTGCGAGGTTTCATGATTCGTTTTGGAGCACCGCCCGAGCCGATTACGTCGGGATACAATATTTCCATATACTCTTCGTGATCAAACGGTCGACCCCGAAGGGCTCTTGAAAGAGGCTCCCTCTGTTAGATAACCGTTAGTCTCCATCCTTCTCTCTGTCTCTGTCTCTCCTTCCCTCTCTCCTTCCCTGTCTCCTTCCCTCTCTCTCTTTCCCTCTCTCTCTTTCCCTCTCTCTCTTTCCCTCTCTCTCTTTCCCTCTCTCTTTCCCTCCATTTTTCCCCCTCCACTTGGTCCTCACTCACCTCCAAGTGTGTCTTCCAAGCATCTTCCGTGGCAGTCACCGTCCTGGTCACTGGGTTGTAGGCAAAGTCCGGATCCTCGCGCAGCCCGCGCCAGAGTCGGAATCGTTTGCGCGCATTGTCGCTCTTGTTGATAAGGTGGCTCTTAGCAGGATATGCGCCATGGTATTCCTGCAGGGCCTGCGCGGCGCGCTCCCAAGCCTCGGCTTTGAAGCTGCTGTTTTCTCGCAGCCCGAGCTGAACGCTGGCGCAAAGGCTGCGGAAAAAGGTGGTCTCGTAGGCGGGAGTCCAGCTGAAGCGCGGAGCCCGGCGGTCGCGATCGACACGAGAGGAAGAGGCCTGGGCGTCGGGGCCGAGTATGTCGATGTCGTCTTCGGACATGGCGCGTGGACGGGCACCGGGACGATTGCTCGAGAGTTGGGATGTGTTGGATTCGGCGCTGTGCCAATCAAACCGGGCAACGGAAACCGGCGATCAGCAACCGCGGCCGCTGCGTCCCACGCTGCTTGCGACAGACGACCTGCACGTCGGGGGTGCGTCGGGTTGATGGTGGGGCTACGCATCACATGAGCTTTCTAGTTTGCGATGGACCCTAAAAACGCAAGAGTATATAAGCCTCAACATCTCGGTTCGTTCACATCAAGTGAGCCAATCACTGGGCGGATGGTTTAGTGGTATAATACTCCCTTAGCATGTAGCCACCTTGTGGCACGGCTTGGGAGTGGTCCGGGGTTCGATTCCCCGTCTGTCCAAGCAAGGTGGTTCATTCCCACCATTGTACCATGAAGTTTTTTTTCATCTCGTTTTTTTGTCCCCTCTATCTTCCCTTCGTAGCTCTCGCGAAATTGGTCGTCGTCCCATTTTTTGGCAATGCATCATCCATGGCCTAGTTGATATGGTAGGGACAAGAAAGGATACGTGGTGAAAAAGACTTTTGCTGCTCATGCCATCCCATGTCTGCATCCCAGGGTTGGCCCGTCGTTTGGTGTGTAGATAGGCTGTGTTTTAATATTATATCACCACTTATTGATTGATTGATTGATTTTATTTAGCCCCCGACATTATATCACCACGTGGGGTCAGCGGAGGCCTGTAGGGTATGTAGGGTAGGTGGGCGTGTTGGCGTTATGTGTTACGGACCAACAAAGGTCCAACCAGCTTCACAAGCATGGACTTGATGACGGCTCATGCAGTCATCAACCAACGTGTGATCAACAGCATCGTTTTGTATCTCATAACGGCCAAAGGACCTAGATGCCGTCTTAGCTGGCCCGTCTGCCATAACCTCCTTTCTCGAAACCTCTATTGCTTTGCCGGACAAGCCCCGTGAGACCTGCCGCCATAAACCGACCCAACTGCTACATTGGGCCGTCGTGAAAAATGGGGATTCGCCGGCGGAGATTTGGGTGGCAGTGGGTTTCGAGCCGCAGAAGCGTCGTGTTTCATCTTCTTCAAAAATATCATGTTTTCAAAAATAAGCATACATGGACAAAGTCACCTCCCACGTTCCCGACCTATTCACGTCCAAAACTCGGCCCTCTGCCCCCAGAACCCCCTGCGACTGTGCAAATCGAACCGACGCACGCGAACCCTTCGGTCCGCCCCTTTCCCTCTCGAGGCACCGCGCCAAGGCCCGATGGACTCGGGGCGTTTTTCTGCACGCGGCAGACATTTCTTTAGGTTTCCCGTGTATTCTGCACGGGTTGTGCGTCTCGTCTTTTATCTCGCTTGCGCCGTCCTGGCACCCGACGCGGGAGACGCAGGGGAGTGTCCTTGCCGCGGGGAAAAAAGGCAGGAGAAGGATGTCGCAGAAAAGGCCCGTGGGGGGGAAGAGGCGATCGGGGGGGGGGGCCACGGAGAATAATGTTGCATAATCGGCGTTGCGTGGGGTGTCGAGCACGGAGATGTGGCAGTCACGTGGCGCACTTTTTTTTTCTTCTTTTTTTTTCCAATCGTCATTTTAGAAATCCCCTTGCCCACCACTGACAAAGTCACGCGACTCTTTTTTTTTTTTTTTTTTTTTTTTTCGCGCACCCTCCTCTCCCCCAAATCAAGATGAAGTTAGAAATTACTCGAGCCTGCAAAGAGGATCCATCCAACAGTGGCAGGGCCAATTTGTCCAGCAGAGGGCCTCTCAACGAGTTCCTTCATGCAGCCCTAGCGAAAAGGATTCGCGCCATGCGAGATGCCCACCGACGACGGATCGCTTAGTCCCGTTCTCTTCCTTCTCCCCCTGGTGCCTGCTCGTCGGTGCCCACTCGGAAGGTCATGTGTCACTTGATTGTGGACATGCACTGTGGCCCAATTGTGGCCGATAAAGGGTCTGGTCGGCGGGGAGGCGACGGAACCGTGGAAGGGGTGAGTATGGGGAAGATGAGACGAGTGCATCTTGGGGATGGTGCTTCACGCGCCGGGGTCTGGATGCGACGGTTTTTTTTTTTGACGCCAACCTGCCGTTTTCATGATTGTCATGTTGTTTTACGACTGTTGGTTGTGGGGGAGGGCGTCGGGATGAGCAGAACCTTTGGCCGGGGGAAACCACCGGACGAAGGGGTGCACATGACTGCTTGACGGATGAAAGGGTTGCCCGGCGTCGTGGCCGATGTGATGGCTCATTTTCGGTGTTGGGAGGGTGTAAAGTGTGGTTTCGATTCTGGGTTACATTGTGCTGATTCCATTTGTGTGTGTGTGTGTGTTGAATTGTATTTGCATTTTGCATTTTGCATTTTGCATTGCATTTATTTACATATGTTATCTCCATCTATTTTTATTGCGTCTTTTTCATAAACATATTTCATTTTTTCATAAACAAACCCTGTTCCCATCACCGTTCTCATTCTCTCTCGGCACCTCACCTCCCAGACACGACACCAAGCCGTCATTTTTATTTAACAAACCAAAAAATCACATGCGCCTCGACAAGAGCCGCCGTGACCCGATCGATCCCCCCCCCCATGGCAGGCCTCGAGAACCCCCCGACCGCATGCATAATCGACCGGGGTTCCCCTCTTATTGGGGTGCTGGGATGCGAGGCGGCGGGCCGCAAGAACGGACGGGGCACCACGTACGGGGATAGGAAAGTGAGCGAGTTGGGATGACGTGGTTTTTTTTTTGCTTCCTTTCCTTTCCTTGGGTTTTCTTTTTCTTTTTCTTTTTTCATGCAAGGCTTCATTTTTTATTTTTAAGAAGCATGGTGCAATGAGCGCGGCGATTCCAGAACAAATACATAAAAAAAGATTAAAGGAAAAAAAAAAGACAAAAAGAAAAAGAGAAAACAAAGTAGGCATCTCATTCAAAGCCCCCCCCACCCAAGTAAAAAGCCACCAGGAACGCGTACTATCCCCGCCGGTCCATGAAAGGAAAAAAAAAAAAAGAAAGCGGTCAAGGCTGTTTCTCCATCAACACCCGCTCTCTCGGTTATCCTCATCTCCCATCCTTCTGCGAGGTTTCCCGGACCCTCTTCCTAATGGAAGGAAGCGTTCCCCCACGGTCTCGTCTCGTAGCGCCGCGGGATTGCTAGTATGAGCCTATTCGTTATCCCGAATCAGGTCAAGTCGTCCTTTGTTGCATTGCCCCCCCCCCGCCGTTGGGCCGTGTCTGCCATCAGTCGGCGTGTCACTTGCGAATGTATAATGCCCATATCGGAGGGCGCAACACGATACAACGCGCCACGTGTGCCATGTGGTGTCTCGATTCGGTCCTTTGTCAACACATACGCCAGTTCCTGCATGAGGAGTTGTCTCCTGTCGAGCGAGGACGTGCAATTCCCCTTGTTTTCTCCGAGGAGGAAAAAAAAAAAAAAGGACGAGGCGAGAAAACACAAGATGCACACGCGCAGGGGGGAATAAAAACACAGAATAAAACTAGGCTGGTCGCGTGTGGGGGAGGCGTAGGCGGTCGCGTCGTCGGGAGCCGGACCTGGACGCGGCGTTGGAGGAGGAAATTACATCGTCAGGCAGAACCGGCACGGGATGCTTGTCCGACGAAGGATGGGGCCGCGCTGGTTCTCGAATCTGGGGATTCATGACTCTGCTCCATCTCGTCCGCGTCGGCGTCGGCGTACCGCTCAGGAGGGCTTTTTTGTATGGCGTGGCCGGCGGGGAGTCGTCGACTCGTCCGATCAAACTCGATGGGTTGGTCTTTTGTCTCCGTGGCGAGCCAGTCGACGTACCTGCCCTGCTGGGATATTCCAGCCCGACGGTCGTGGTCACTTGGTGTTTCTACTTTGACAAACGGTTTGCCTTATACGCCCCCCCTGTCCTCTTGTCCTCTTGTCCTCTTGTCCACTTGTCCCCTGACCGCTATACACCCCCCTCCTGTCTTTGTAGTCTCTCTGGGCCTTCCTGCTGGTGTCTAAACTCCGGAGAACTTTTGCCGCGATCTCCTCCCCCGCATGTTACCCAGCTGACACGATGGCGACCAGACGGAGGGAAATCATCAATATTTGCCATGAGGTTTCTGGCCTGCCATGAGTATATAACATGTCGGCCGTTTCGCTTGTTTCCTTCATATTATCAGCCTCTTTCTTTTTCCCATCCACGGCTTTCCCTCTTTCTCCCGCCTTTTCTTCGCTTCTTTTTCTTTTGAGAACCACGTTTAGCAACAAGACTAGCGTGTTCTCCATCTCTCCTTTTTGAAAAAACGTTGCCTGCCTGCCCGCTCTGCTCGCTCCTTTTCCGACCTACCTCGTCTTCACCCCTCCGGCTTCAATCATCATGGTCAACTACCACTTCCTGTCCAGCATCTTGCTGGCCTTTGCCGCCGCCGTTGATGCCAACGCCCCCAACTATCCGGGCTTCAGGCTCCAGTGGCAGGACAACTTTGCCGGCCCCAAGGGCGCTTCGCCCGGTGGCAACTGGGTCCGTATCAACAAATTCCTCAACGTCAACAACGAGCTCCAGACGTACTCGGCCAGCACGCGCAACGTTATGCTCAGCGGCGGCAACACGCTCCAGATCGTGCCGTGGCGCGACGGCAGCGCCATCAAGGGGTGGACGTCGGGCCGCCTCGAGAGTACATACCTCGTCACGCCGCAGCCCGGCAAGATCACGCGCGTCGAGGCCTCGATCCGGTACGGTTCCAACTCGGGCGGCGCCAAGAAGGGCATCTTTCCTGCCTTCTGGATGCTGGGCGCCTCGTTGCGCCACGGCACGTCCTGGCCGGCCTGCGGAGAGATTGACATCATGGAGGAGCTCAACGGCCAGCTGACCGGCCGCGGCACCGTCCATTGCCAGCAGTCCCCGGGGGGCATCTGCGGCGAGCCCTCGGGACTCGGGGCCGGCGTCGGCATCCCCAACAACGCCTTCCACGTCTGGCGCGTCGAGTTTGATCGTCGAAGCAACGACTGGAGGCAGCAGAAGCTGACGTGGTTCCTCGACGGCCGTCTGTTCCATCAGATTGCCGGATCTCGCATCGGCAATGCCGCCGTTTGGGCCACTCTTTGCCAGAGCCCCTTGTACTTTGTGTTGAATGTTGCCGTGGGTGGCACCACGGTATGTCGATTTCTCCTCTGTTTTTTCCGTCCTCGGTGTCCACTGCTAATCTTCTTTTCCTTTCCAGCCGGGTAACCCCACTGGTGCCACGCAAGATGGCTTCGGCGCCATGATGGAAGTCGCATACGTCGCCCACTACACCAACTAAACGATCATGACAAGGCGCCTCGAGCGTGTCTCCCTTGGCGTATTTCACTTGACGTAACGTTTTTTTTTTGACTGTGTATATTGTAGCGCATACAAGGAGAGTCTTTTGGTTG